AGATCATCCAAAGTGAAAATAAATAAGGAAACACAAGCTTTAAAAGATACATTAAATAAGATGGACTTAATTGATATTCATAGGACATTCCATCCAAAAACAACAGAATACACTTTCTTGTCAAGCGCTCATGGAACACTCTCCAGGACAGACCCTATCTTGGGTCACAAATCAAGCCTTGGTAAATTTAAGAAAACTGAAATCATATCAAGTATCTTTTCTGAACACAACACTATGAGGCTAAATGTCAGTTACAGAAAGAAAACTGTAAAATCTACAAACACATGGAGGCTAAACAATACACTACTAAATAACCAAGAGATCACTGAAGAAATCAAAGAGGAAATCAAAAAATACCCAGAAACAAATGACAATGAAAACACGATGACCCAAAACCTATGGGATGCAGCAAAAGCAGTTCTAAGAGGGAAGTTCATAGCAATACAATCCTACCTAAATAAACAAAAAAAATCTAAACAACCTAACCTTACACTTAAAGCAATTAGAGAAAGGAGAACAAAAAAACACCAAAGTTAGCAAAAGGAGACATCATAAAGATGAGAACAGAAATAAATGAAAAAGAAATGAAAGAAACAATAGCAAAGATCAATAAAACTAAGAGCTGCTTCTTTGAAAAGATAAACAAAATTGATCAACCACTGGTCAAACTCATCAAGAAAAAAGGGAGAAGACTCAAATCAACAGAATTAGAGAAGAAAAAGGAGAAGTAACAAATGACACTGCAGAAATACAAAAGATCATGAGCGATTACTACAAGCAACTATATGCCAATACAATGGATAACTTGGAATAAACAAATTCTTAGAAAAGCACAACCTTCTGAGACTGAACCAGGAAGAAATAGAAAATATAAACAGACCAATCACAAGCACTGAAATTGCAACTGTGCTTAAAAATCTTCCAACAAACAAAAGCCCAGGACCAGATGGCTTCACAGGCGAATTCTATCATTTAGAGAAGAGCTAACACCTATCCTTCTCAAACTCTTCCAAAATACGGCAGAGGGAGGAACACTCCCAAACTCATTCTATACAGCCACCATCACCCTGATACCAAAGCCAAAGATGTCACAAAAAAAGAAACTACAGGCCAGGGCTTCCCTGGTGGCTCAGTGGTAGAGAGTCCGCCTGCCGATGCAGGAGACACGGGTTTGTGCCCCGGTCCAGGAAGATCCCACATGCCGCAGAGCGGCTGGGCCCATGAGCTGTGGCCGCTGAGCCTGCGTGTCCAGAGCCTGTGCTCCACAACGGGAAAGGCCACAACAGTGAGAGGCCCATGTACCAGGAAAAAAAAAAAAAAACAAAGAAAAAAAGAAACTACAGGCCAATATCTCTGATGAACATAGATGCAAAAATCCTTAACAAAATACTAGCAAACAGAATCCAACAGAACATTAAAAGGATCATACACCATGAACAAGTAGGGTTTATCCCAGGAATGCATGGATTTTCCAATACATGCAAATCAATCAATGTGATACATCATATTAACAAACTAAAGGATAAAAACTATTTGATAATCTCAATAGATGCAGAAAGAGCTTTCAACAAAATTCAACACCCATTTATGATAAAAACTCTCCAGAAAACAGGCATAGAGAGACCCTACCTCTACAAAATAAAGGCCATATATGACAAACCCACAACCAACATTGTTCTCAATGGTGAAAAACTGAAAACATTTCCTCTAAGATCAGGAACAAGACAAGGCTGCCCACTCTCACTACCGTTCAATATAGTTTTGGAAGATTTAGCCATAGCAATCAGAGAAGAAAAAGAAATAAAAGGAATCCAAATTGGAAAAGAAGTAATCGTTACTGTTTGCAGATGACATGACACTATACATAGAAAATCCTAAAGATACTACCAAATAACTACTAGAGCTAATCAATGAATTTGGTACAGTAGCACGAAACAAAATGGATGCACAGAAATCTCTTGCATTCCTATACACTAATGATGAAAAATATGAAAGAGAAATTAAGGAAACACTCCCATTTACCACTGCAACAAAAAGAATAAAATACCTAAGAATAAACCTACCTAAGGAAAGAAAAGACCTGTATGCAGAAGACTATAAGACACTGATGAAAGAAATTAAAGATGATATAAACAGATGGAGAGATATACCATGTTCTTGGATTGGAAGAATCAACATTGTGAAAATGACTATACTACCCAAACCTATCTACAGATTCAGTGCAACCCTATCAAACTACCAATGGCATTTTTCACAGACCTAGAAAAAATTGCAAAATTTGTATGGAAACACAAAAGACCCTGAATAGCCAAAGCAATCTTGAGAATGAAAAATGGAGCTGGAGGAATCAGCCTCCCTGACTTCAGACTACTACAAAGCTACAGAAATCAAGAGAGTATGGTACTGGCACAAAAACAGAAATATAGATCAATGGAACAGGATAGAAAGCCCAGAGATAAACCCACACACGTATGGTCACCTTATCTTTGATAAAGGAGGCAAGAGTATGCAATTGCAAAAAGACAACCTCTTCAATGGGTGGTGCTGGGAAAACTGGACAGCTACACATAAAGGAATGAAATTAGAACACTACCTAACACCAGACATAAAAATACTGAAAATGGATTAATGACCTAAATGTAAGGTTATAAAACTATAAAACTTAGAGGAAAACATAGGCAGAACACTCTATGACATAAATCACAGCAAAATCCTTTTTGACCCACCTCCTAGAGAAATGGAAATAAAAACAAAAATAAACAAATTGGACCTAAAGAAACTTAAAAGCTTTTGCACAGCAAAGGAAACCGTAAAAAGAGACGAAAAGGCAACCCTCAGAATGGGAGAAAATATTTGCAAATGAAGCAACTGACAAAGGATTAATCTCCAAAGTATACAAGCACCTCATGCAGCTCAATATCAAAGAAACAAACAACCCAATCCAAAAATGGGCAGAAGAACTAAATAGCCATTTCTCCAAAGATATACAGATTGCCAACAAACATAAAAAGATGCTCAACATCACTAATCATTAGAGAAATGCAAATCAAAATTTACAGTGAGGTATCACCTCACACCGGTCAGAATGGCCATCATCAAAATATCTACAAACAATAAATGCTGGAGAGGGTGTGGAGAAAAAGGAACCCTCTTGCACTGTTGGTGGGAATGTAAACTGATATAGCCACTATGGAGAAAAGTATGGAGGTTCCTTAAAAAAACAAAAATAAGGGCGTCCCTGGTGGCGTAGCAGTTAAGAATCCGCCTGCCAATGCAGGGGACACGGTTTCAAGCCCTGGTCTGGGAAGATCCCACATGCCGCAGAGCAACTAAGCCCATGTGCCACAACCACTGAGCCTGCACTCTAGAGCCTATGAGCCTCAACTACCAAAGGCCACAAGCCTAGAGCCTATGTTCCTCAACAAGAAGCCACCACAATGAGAAGCCTGTGCACCTCAAAGAAGAGTAGCCCCCGCTGCTGCAACTAGAGAAAGCCTGCACGCAGCAACAACGACCCAATTCAGCCATAAATAAATAAATAAATAAATATTTTTAGAAAGTAAAAATAGAACTACCATTATGACCCAACAATCCCACTACTGGGCATATACCGTGAGAAAACCATAATTCAGAAAGAATCATGTAGGGCTTCCCTGATGGCGCAGTGGTTGAGAATCTGCTTGCCAATGCAGAGGACACGGGTTCGAGCCCTGGTCTGGGAAGATCCCACATGCCGCGGAGCAACCACTGAGCCTGCGCGTCTGGAGCCTGTGCTCCGCAACAAGAGAGGCCATGACAGTGAGAGGCCCACGCACTGCGATGAAGAGTGGCCCCTGCTCGCTGCAACTAGAGAAAGCCCTTGCACTGAAACGAAGACCGAACATGGTCAAAAATAAAAAATTTTTAAAAATTAAAAAAAAGAGTCATGTACCACAATGTTTCCTGCAGCATTATTTACAATAGCCAGGACACAGAAGCAACTTAAGTGTCCTTCGACAGTGGTATAGATAAAGAAGATGTGACACATATATACAATGGAATATTACTCAGCCCTAAAAAGAAACAAAATTGAGTTATCTGTAGTGAGGTGTATGGGCCTAGAGTCTGTCACACAGAATGAAGTATGACAAAGAGCAAAACAAATAGAGTATCCTAACACATATATCTGGAATCTAAAAAAAAATGGTTCTGATGAACCTAGGGGCAGGACAGGAATAAACATGCAGATGCAGAGAACAGACTTGAGGCCACAAGGAGGGGGAAGGCTAAAGATGGGACGAAGTGAGAGAGTAACACTGACATACCTACACTACCAAATGTAAAACAGATAGCTAGTGGGAAGCAGCAGCATTGCACAGGGAGATCAGCTCGGTGCTTTGCGACCACCTAGAGGGGTGGGATAGGGAGGGTGGGAGGGAGACGCAGGTGGGGGGCTATGGGGATATACGTATGCATATAACTGATTCACTTTATTACACAGCGGAAACTAACACAACACTGTACAGCAATTATACTCCAATAAAGATACTGAAAAACAACAACCAGACAGCAGGCTAGATTTGGCCCATGGGCAGTATTTTGCCAACCCCTGATCTAAAGTAAGGTCCAACAATTAACAAGCACAGAACTTCCAATTAGAATTTTATTGCCTCACTCAAAGATTATCCACTGTTTAAGGAAGCCTTTGAGACAAGTAGAGATAAAGATAAAAAGAAAAAAACAAAGTTAGAAAATAAAGTCAAGGACTTCCCTAGTGGCACAGTGGTTAAGACTCCATGCTCCCAATGCAGGAGGCCTGGGTTCGATCCCTGGTCAGGGAACTAGATCCCACATGCATGCTGCAACTAAGAGTTCGCATGCTGCAACTAAGACTCAACACAACCAAATAAATAAATAAACCAATATTTTTTTAAAAAAAAAAGAGAAAGGGAAGAAAGAAAATAAAGTCAAGGTGATCTTTCAGAATGTCAGTTGAATAAGAAAGTAAAGAGAAGGGGAATTCCCTGTTGGTCCAGTGGTTAAGACTTGGCACTTTCAATGCCGAGGGCCCCGGTTCTATCCCTGGTCAGGGAAGTAAGATTCCACAAGCAGCGCGGTGAGGCCAGAAAAAAAAAAGAAAGAAAACAAAGAGAAGGAAAGCATAAGAGAAAACGTAGCAGAGAGTATGAACCCAGTAGCTCCAACATTCAAATAGAAACAGTTCCAAAAAGAGTGAGGGAAAGGGGGGCCTGAAGGGGAAGGGCATGAAGAGAGAGGATCCTTTTGAAAAAATTTAAGTTTAAACTTTTTCTTACTATAAATGAAGAGTAGAAGACTAACAGAAAAAGCACAGTGAACTTTTAAAAACCATAAAGGAAAAAAAAACAGAAACAATCACTATATTCCAGAAAAGGATGAAGAAATATTAAAAGGTTTCAATAAGAGGTAAATAAAACCCAATTGGGGTTGTACAAGGGAGCAAAATCAGACTAGCATGAGCAACACTGACTACTTTAAAACAAGGGAGGAGATACCTTCAAAGTTCTGAGGAAAAACAAATTTGAACCTGGAATTCCATATCCAGTCAAACTACCATTTAAATAGAAAAATAAAATAAAGAGCTTCAAAACTGCAAAGGCTCCGAAATTTTACTCTTAACGATTCTTTCTTAGTATGTACAAACAAGGGAGTAAACAAAGAATGGGGAAGCCTGTGTAAAATAATTAGAAGCAAGACTCTCTGCATAAGGCAGGCTTGAAAGATTACACCCTCAGTTAGAAGGGTGCATAAGCAAATAATAATAGTAAAACTTCAAAAAAAAATAAAATAAATCAGACAGTTAGCTTAGAAAAAAAAAAACTGTCACTTCCTGGTTTCAGAGTGATGGAAAAAATTTTCTCCTGAGAAGTTTCAAATACAGGTTAGCCTATAAGGTAAACTCTAAGTCAACATCTGCCAGTTCTAAGAAACACCAAACTAAAAATTAACATCAGTGACTTTTCACTGGTGGTACCTGACAGAAGCAAGGACAAAATACTCTTTGGAGGGGCTTGTTTCCAAAAACCAGGTCTGGCAGGGTTCATAGTTAAAGCCCTAGTAAACACACTCAAACTCCAAAACTATAAAACACTGGAGAACACCATCTACAATAATCAGGAATAGGCAGAAGCAAGTAATAGTAAAATAGGACCTCAAGAACTTTAGATAATGGAATTATCAAATATAAATATGAAATAAGTATACTTCAGATATTTAAAAAATAAAAAGTAAAATGAAGAACAAGAAAACAAAGCAAACACAGCTAAATGTAATTTAAGGGAAGCCATTTATAGTAAAAACAAAATATAAAATATATCAGAATAACTCATAAAAGACGTGCAAGACTTTTCTAGGAAAAAAGCTATATAATATTCAAAAATAAAAGATTTAAGCAAATGGAAAGGCATGCAATGTTTCTGAACAGGCAGATACCATATTGTAAAGATAGCATTTTCTCCCAAATTAATCTATATATTCAAAGCAATTCCAACAAAAATGCTGACAAGTTTTTAAAATGAACTTTCACAACATGATTCTAATATGTTTAAGAACTAAAAGCCAAGATCAGTCAAGATAATCTTTAAGATGAAGAAGGTATATGTGGAGGGGGATGAAATTACCTTAACGAATAACAAAGTTTACTATAGCTTTATAATAAGCAATAAAGGCAGAAAAATGGGGGGAAAACTGATTTTTAAAAAACCTCTCATATATCAAAAGACAGCTCTCTTAAGAGTAAAGGGAAAAGTCAAGTGTATTAGTTTATTGCTGTGTAACAAATTACCCCAAAACTTAATGGGGTAAAACAATAATTCCTTATCTTTCAGTTTCTTTGAGTCAGGAATCTGGGAGTGATATGGCAAGTGGTTCTCTATGAGTCTCTAATGATGCTGCAGTCAGATGTCAGCCAGGACTGCAGTCATCTGAAAGCTTGACCATGCTGGAATATCCACCTCCAAAGTGGCTCATTCCCATTGCTGGGAAGTTGGTGCTGGATGTTAACAGACCCCAGTTCTTTACAGAACTGCAAGAGTGATAGTTGTTTTCGCCTAGAACAAGGAATCCAACGAGTAAGGAAAAAGCTGTATACCTTTAATGAAGCCTCAGAAGTCACTGTTAATTCTGCTATACTCTCTTGGTCACCCAAACAAGCCCTGAGTCACTGTGAGCAGAGACTAAAGAAGGGTGTGAGTACCAGAAGAGAAGAACACTGGGGCCACCTCAGAGGCTGGCAACCACACTAAGCCATAGTAGGCTAAGAACAAATCTTCAATTTACATAACCAACAAAGGATCAGTATGTAGAACTTACCAAGAATTCTTGTAAATCAAAACAAAAAAAGTTAGAAAACTAAAAAATATAGAAGACATGTGGACAATTCACAGAAGCAACAATATAAATCGCACGTAACAAGCATTCAAAAAGTATTTTTCCCTAGAACCACGTAATTCATGCTATTTATGTATCATAAAGGCATAGAATTTAAATATTTTTCTAAAAATGATGCATTTATGTCCATTCATCCTTGTTTTTTCCCACTTCCCCTTGAGACCAATGTCCATTCTGGAAGCTGGCTAAGGATGAAGGTACAATTTGTGGCCACAGAGGAGACACAGATTAATGTATCCAACACCATGATCCCAACCTCAGAACTTGTCCTCTGGAAAATAAAATGACAGAACTCAGTCAACCAGTAATAAATATGAAAAAAAAAAATCAGCAGATCTACAGCACTCTATTTACAAAAGATAAATTTTAGTTATTAAGTACATTTTTCCTCTTTACATTTACATTTGGGGCAAGCTCTTTATGAACTGTGATGGGTACCCCAAAATGAAGGACTATAAATGCATGAATATGCCACCTTCTACTATTTCATGGTCTGACACTCTTCCTAATGACTTTGGATTATCACTTGGTTATAGCCCCTTTAAAGAAGCAGGTCTCTGGGCTTCCCTGGTGGCGCAGTGGTTGAGAGTCCACCTGCTGATGCAGGGGACAGGGGTTCGTACCCCGGTCTGGGAAGATACCACATGCCGCGGAGCGGCTGGGCCCGTGAGCCATGGCCGCTGAGCCTGCGCGTCCAGAGCCTGTGCTCCGCAACGGGAGAGGCCACAACAGTGAGAGGCCCGCATACCGCAGAAGCAGGTCTCAAACTTTTTGGTCTCAGAATCCCTCTTACATTCTTAATCATCAAGGACCTGAAAAGCATTTGTTCAGATGGGTTTTATCCATCCATGTGTACAGTATTAGAAATAAAAACTGAAGATTTTAAAATATTTTATTTAATATTGTAATAATTAATAGCAAATTAATAATGTTTCATTAAAATTAAATATTTTATTAATTCATTTAAAAATAAACATTAATAATAAAAATAAACACATTGCATGTTTAAATAACATTTTTAACAGAAATAACTAATTTCCAAAACCAAAAAAATTTTTTAGTAAAGAGTGGCACTGATTTCACTTTTAAATCTCTTTAATGTTTAGTTTAATAGAAGATGTCTGTATATATGCTTTTGCATTTAATCTGTTGTGAGAGATTGTTTTGTTTGAAGACTATAAAGAAAACTTGGCCTCATATAACCATGTACTTAAGAAAAGGGAAGAGTATTTTAATAGTCTTTTCAGACAATCTGTGGATATTCTTCTTTGATACATTCAAAAAATTTAAAGTGTTTTTATTTATTTCTTAAACATCAGTTGCAATGTGAAATTTCAAACTATAGTGATGAACTTTTACTACGCCCTTACATTAAAATCTATTGGTCTATTTTGCACTTTGAATCTTTTTCCTACGCCTGATTTTGTAACATGATGCATCATTGGTCATTTGGCAAATACTGGTTCACTATGTAGATCTTCCAAATGTTGACATTTCATTGCACAAAATCAAAAAAAAAAAGTGTTAATATCACTACCAATCTCATCAGAAAAGCCTTTAAATATTGAGAAGCTGTCAAGCTCATGGTAGCATATACAAGTTTCCCAAAAATCCTAATTTTCACTTAAAAGCTCAATTTTTATCACTGGCAACATATAACAACATCAGTTGTTTCTCTTGAAGTGACAAGGCTCAATTCATTCATTTTTAAGAAAATATCTGCCAAATATCCGTTCTTGAAAACCACAGTTTGTTACTCATTCTTTCAGGTAAAAATTATTTTCCAAGAAAAAAAGCAGCTAATTCAACTTGGAATTCAAACAACTGCACAAGTACTTTTCTTATTGCACTTCAGTCTGCAGCAGAAGCACTTTATGCATTATCCCATTTCATTGCACAGAATATTAAGGATAAAGATTTTTAAAATAGAGACGTCCCTGGTGGTCCAGTGGGTAAGACTCCATTCCCGATGCGTGGGGCCTGGGTTCAATCCCTGGTCGGGGAACTAGATCCCACACGCCGCAACTAAGAAGTCCGCACGCCGCAACTAAGAAGTCCACACGCCACAACTAAGAAGTCCACACGCCACAACTAAGACCCGGTGCAGCCAAAATAAAATAAATATTTAAAAATATATATTTTAAAAACAAGTTTCACTGCTTCATCAAGGACATAAAAGTAAAACTAACATAATTTTTGTTGGTGGCGGTGGTTTTACTCTAAGTATGTGATGGTAAAGTTACAATAACTTTTAGAGTGCTTTGGAGGCACTATCTTAATTCCTGCTAAGGTGCCAAGCAGTCTTACCCATCATTGCTTTTGTATTATTTATACAAATGTCAGAACAGTGAATAAGGCAAATAATGAATCAGTGTTATAATGAAAACAGTTTCAACTCTGCCAACACCTGAACAGGTATCAGAGACAATCCCCCCTACCCCCTAACTCAGAGTTTCATGGACCAACTTTGAGAATCTACTTTAAGGTACTATTCTCATTTAGTGTCTGCTAAGAGGAGTATATATAAGGAAATGAAAAGCAGTTAGATTCCCCTAACTGAAATTTTTGGTGTACAGATATTAGACCTTGTAAAAACTTAGGATTTAGAACATTAGTTTACAAGTTTTTACGCTGTAAGTTTTAGGCAGCTGAAGAGAGGTTTGGAA